CTCTTTCCCATTGACATCTGAGAGGCGGGAATGAGCAAAGACACTCTGCTTGGAGCTTTGTCTCTTACCCACTTTCTCACAGTCTAAATGCCCTCCCTGTCATTCACAGAATCATGGTTCTCAATCACCACCATTAACTTTATCATAAGCTTAAGGAGGAAGAGGAGATACAGTGTTTATTTGCCCTGAGTGAATCTTCCAGGGATGACCAATAATTTCTTATTAACCACATAGCACACTTTTGTCTGACTTGCCCAGTGGGTTTACATTGCTGGGCCTTTCGAAGAAAGGATTTGTTTTGGTTAATACCCATGTTCTTGATGCTTGCTTCAGAGTACATATGTTTAAAAAGAAAAGGCAATAAATGCCTGCAATTAATATTTTTTTTCAAAAAGCACCTCGTTTACTTTCTGAATCATTAGTTCTTGTTCAGTAATGTTTGGGTCTGTAAAAAGATTAACTTATTTGGATGTTGTGTTAGCTCCACATAGAGAATGAAACTTTGACTTATGTTCCTCTATTGATTTTCTTTTTTCTGATATGAAACAATGGCAAAAGGGAAAGTTTAAATACAAAATTTATTGCAGTAAAGAGATTAAAACAATTTTCTTATGTAAACCAAAATTAACATTTGTTTCACATGACTATCAGTAGTTGGAAAAACCATCTATTACAAATGCAAACTCTGGATGAAAGCCCAGTGATAGAGCTGTTTGGATCAGTGAATGTTCTCAGACCCCAGGGAAAATTTGGGGATAACCATCTCAGTAGAAAAATAGAAATGACAAGAGAATAATAATAAAATGCATTGCTAATAAATGATCACCTTCCTGTTGGACAACCACGTGTGACCTGCATATCCAGTTATGCTCTTGATGTCAAGGATTTAAATCACAGATGCCCAAATTCATGTTTTATGTTAAGGGACCTTTTTTTCCTTTTATGTGGTTTCCTGTGTATTCATCAAGACATGCTTAATCTGTGCACTCAACAATAACTAGAAAGAGGAGGCCACCGGAGCCCCATCCCATCTCAACAACCCTCTTCCTTCTTGAAAGATCTTTATCCTTGCCACCACTCTCCAAAACCCCTCCTGTGCCCATTCACTAGGGGGCAGAACATCTGTTACTATTAGAAACCATCTGTCATCATTAACATAATGACCAGGTGAAAGAAAACTATACCAGGAGTTGAGGGACAAGCTCTTGGGTAGCAAATGTGGATGGCTTATTTGCATTTTAAAAGAGAAGCCAGCCAATGTACCTGAAAGCAACCTGGGAGCAATCCCTGCTGCCCCTCCAAGACCTTTAGGTATTACAGCAACGCTGGGGCTCCACTTCCTGTGAGGGCCCACTTTCTGAAGGGGGAGAGAAGTCCAAACTGCTGCCTGGGAGAAGGGAAGTAAGACAGGGTTAACCTAACACAAAAATTGGAAGTGAATATGTCCTTCCATGTCCCCACTCCTGGAAATAAATGTTCATTATTGGAAAAGTTTCTTAACTTCTCAGTCTCAGTTTATGCATCTGTAAAATGAGAATAGTCATTGCACCCATCTCTGAAGGTTATAATGAAGGATAAATAAAAAGCATAGAAAGTTCACAGCACAGAGACTGCCATATCAAAAGCATCTCATAATTGTTAGATATTAATCCCAGCACAAATTCTTCACTTGATAGAGGAAAAAACTGAGGCCCGAAGAGATGAAGTTTTTTTCCAAGCTCTAAAGCATGAGGCTGTATCCCTTTCTACTACCCTGCCATTCAACTTGTTCTCTTGTATTAAAAAATGTAATAAAATACAAAAAAGCTGAAAATATTTTTAAAGCCTTAAGCATCCCCTCTGGGGTCACTGACATGGCCTTTCCTCCCACAGTCCCTTGCTTATGTTTATTATTAGCAGCTGTGTCCCAGGAGGATGTGTCACGCATGCTGGAGAGTACTCTTGGCTTTGCCTCTCTGCACCCGAGATGAGGTTGCTGTCGCAGCTGTCGTCTATGGAGTCGTAGGATGGTGGGGCCTCTCGGTGATCATTGTTTTCATCCACAAATTCAAAGACCATCTCTGTGTACACAGGTGGAGGAACATCCAAGGCCTCTCCCTCTGCAGGACAGGTTTGCTTTTCACCATCAAGATTCTCTTCATAAGCAGGAGGGTAAAAATCTGGCCTGGGGGACAAAATGCCACAAATACATGTGTTACTTCAGTGGTTAATGCCAAAGAAGCATATGTCTGCCTCTCACAAATCACATTGTGCAAAGTTAAACTGTTAAGAAACATTGATTTTACAACAAATATACTTCTTTCCTGGCATCACCAGTTTTTAAAATATGTGCCGCTTTTTCAGCAGAACTCTCTTTATCAGCCGTAGCATGTGGGCCTCTATAGTCATTTTTTTTTCCCAGTGGGTTATTCCAAGCCATTCTCCCTCTCTTACTAATTGGAACCAGGGACTATCAGTGTGAGATCCTTAGCAGGGGTAGGGGGTATGGCCCTTGACTGTGGAACTTCTCTCTACCCAATTATTTATATATCCTTATCCCTATTCACAGACATCGCCTTCTACTCAGTTGTATTCACTGTCTCAAATTCTCACAGCTAACAAAATAATGAATGAAAACCATCTTTGTGCAAGTTCCTAAACTATATCAGATCTTCTCTCTTTCCTATTACTCTTTCAAGTCTCAGGAGCTAAAAGAAAAACAAAAAACCCCACCATACTCATTTTCCAAACTATTTCAACTGACAACTTTATGTAGATCTACGTTGCAACTCTTTCTATGCCATCAGGCCAATGGCTAATGGAGCCATTCACACCAGAGCTGACGGATTCATTGGTCATCTTGCCCGGGGTTGCTAATTGCTAAATCCTTCTGGCTTCTCCATTATGAATGGGATTGGGGTTGGCATGGAGGTGAGGAAGACAGAGGGTGAACTTGTTTGAGATGTGTATTTATAGAGTGAATTCTTCCAGTGCCTACAGGGAGTGTTTGTGGTATGTAACCACAACAGAACCAGGATTGCCATTTGTAGCCACAGCTCCATTCCAAATGTGACCAGGCCCAAAGCCAAATGTCTGAAGGAGATGTCTACTGTACAGCATAAATCTTAGCCTTCACTCAGAATAGCCAAGGCTGTGTCATGGGGCATATGTGTGAAAACACTGAAGACAGAAAGGTGAGCTATTCCCAACAACGATTTGAGAGGCTCCAGAATGACTGCTGCCTGCTTTCAAAATCCCATCCACCTCTCTCGATCCTCACCCCACCATAATAATTCACATTCCCAGTGCCCTGAATTCTACCATTGCAGACCCATTTGTTTTAATACCTCAACCCAGGTTGTGGCTATGAATATACCCATTTTGAATGCCAATGCTCCTGAGAAATGTAACTTTACATTGACTGACTTACTCGCCATTCTCAGTGGGCTGGGCATCTATTAGAAGCAGCAGGAAGAGACAGTAAATGGGGGGGTCTCATGATGTCCGTAATTTACTTTAAAGCCTTTCCGCATAGTGTAATGTTATGCATGTCTTAGTAAATTTAAGCTATACTCTAAAGTTAATCGATTACACTTATCAGGAATTCACACTCTGGAGGCAATTATCTAGCATTTACACACATACACACACAAAATCACCATCCTATATTCATCTATAATCACTTCAGTTATCTTAATTTTTTATCAAACCCAGAGACTTTGCTAGTAAGTATAGGAAACATTGGAAATGAGTTTTGGTTATTATAATTAGTATCTTATTAATTAGTATAATAATGTCAAAAATCAAGTCATGAGTAAAATCACTTATATTCAAGATACATGAAGTAGCTAAAATACTTCAGTTCGAGGAAGCAGAAGAATTTATGGAGTCTTGCAGCCAGTACCCTAAGGATTATGCCTGTTGTTTTATCACTAAATGATCCTGTGTTCAGCCAAGAATTAGGAGGTTTTTGATTGTCTGATATTAACCATAAGGCCAACTGAATTTTTCTGAATGTGGTAAATATGTATAACATAAAATTTACCACTTTAGCCATTTTAAGTGTATGATTTAATGGCATGAAGCACATTCACATTGTTGTGCAACCATCACTTCTATTCATCTTCAGAACTTTTTCACCACCCCAAACTGAAATTCTATATCCATTAAATAGTAGCGCCCTATCTCACATCCCTAACTCCCAACCCCTAGGGAACCGCTGTTCTACTTTCTTTCTATTAATTTGACTACTCTAGGTACCTCATATAGGTGGAATCATATATATTTTGTCTTTTCGTGTCTGGTTTATTTCACTTAGCATATCTTTGAGGTCCATCCATGTTGTAGCATGCATTAACATTTCCTTACTTTTTAAGGCTGAAAAATTCCATTGTATGTATATACTACACTTTGTTTATCCAGTCATCCACTAATGGATATATAAGTTGTTTCTACCTTTTGGCTATTGTGAAGAATGCTGCTATGAATATTGATGTACAAATACCTGTTCAAATCCCTGCTTTCAATTCTTTTGTCTATATATCCAGAAGTGGACTTGCTGGATCAAATAATAATTCTATGTTTAATATTTTGAAGAACCTCTAAACCAATGGCTGCACCATTTTACATTCCCACCAATAGTACACAAGGGTTCTAATTTCTCCACATCTTTGCTAACACCTGTTGTTTTCTGTTGTTTTGTTTTGTTTTGCTTTTGATAATAGCCATCCTCATGGATATGAGGTGGTAAGGTTAATTGGATCTTACTTTTGGAATATTATTGCCTTGCCTCAAATAAATCTTTCATTCAAGGTATGATCAAAAAACCTAAAAGGATACTAAGCTGGGAATTCACTGAGTTCACAAAGAGGCTGCAGGACTGATTTTATGCCTGCTTGCTTATTTGTTGTATGAAAGAATTTGGTCTGGGATTTGCTTTCTCATAACCTGGTAGCCAAGTTATGAGGAATAATTAACCACCACCAGCTTCTAAGGACAGCTCCTATAATACAACAAAAGAACCTAAGAGTTGGGCCTCTTAAATTGGCTTAGGTGGGTTTTCAAATTGGGCAGTGGGGTTGCGGGGCATTCTCTAAGATAAATTCTCTTTACTTTATGGTTTTCTCCAGAGGCAGCACCATTCATCCTAATAACTAACCCCAGATTAATTCCCTGATGATGAAATCTCAGTTCTAGACATGAGACTCTCAGTTCTAGGCCCATGAGACTTTGTAAATTGCTCCATGTAATTTATAGCCACTCCGCAGTGGGAATAGAAGTCACTCAGCTTTTCCAGAACTCAGCCTTATCTCAACCTTCATCAGTTCTCCAGCTTCTGAATACATACCTGTCCACTGTGGCCAGGGCCACAGCCCCATGGGCAAGGTGTTGTCTGAGCACATGGCTGAACAGGCCTTTGCTTTCACTCGCCTGGCGGTAGGTGTTCCAGAAAATTCCACTCACAAAGATTATAAACCCCAGAGACAGAAGAGAATAGGCCAGGATCAGGTTCCCCCGACAGTTGAAGTTGGAGCCCAAGGAAAAGAAGAAGGCCCCCAGGCAGATTAGCAGGAAGCCTATCGGGGGCGCAAGGACACAGAGAACTAGACCAGTTCTGTTCTGCATCCCTGCTTCTTTGAAAGCCAACTCCCTGACCCTGCCACTTCCCTTCTTCCCTTTCTCACAGAGAATGCTCTCATTAGCCAGCTTACAGCTTTATACACTCTGGGACCAACTGGCCTTTGGACAATTAAATGAAGCAGGCACTTAGAAGCTGTTCATTAATCAGTAACTGTAATGTCATTGGAGGATTAACCTAAAAACACAGCACTGTGTACTACAGAAAGGAGTGGCTTCCCATAGCTGTCTTGCTCTTTTGAGCTGGATAGGATCCTCAGCCAACCCAAGTTATTTGAGGAGAGGTCTCCTATCCTTTGATTAAAAAGGCACTGGTCTCTTAATCCCCACAGTGGGTAATTCTCCACCAGTGCTAGAGAAATTAGCATTTCTTAATGAACTATCTTCTTTGCGGTTTGGCAGGGGAGTCGTTTCCTGATTTCTTCTTTCTCTGTATTAAAGACATTTTTTATGACTGTTAACATATTTTGTCTTGCCTCTCTCAACGAATCTTTCTTTATTGCCTTCATACTATGATATTGAAAAAAATCCAAGAAAAAAGCCCATGGAGTGAACTCCCTGATTCCTTCTCTGTTAACAAGAAAGATGAGCATTAGCAGGAGGGGGAAAGAGATTGCTAGAGAGAAGGATTGTAATAGATAGAGCTTTGGAAATTTGGGGGATTTCTGGGGATGGTTGTAAAAGGTAATGACCCAGTGACTGCTCTGATTTTGGTTTTCTGTCTTTCCCACTGTTGGGGCCCAATTCTTGAGATCCTAGGGTCATTTCTGGTTAATACGTAGGTGTTCAATAAAAATATTTTGCTTATTGCTCGATCCCTGGCCACCATTCTTGGCTCACTAGAAATAATTGAACCAGATCCCACCCTTCCGGCTCTCAAAAAAGGCCCAGGCAGTTGATAGAAGAGCATTCCCTAAAGCATATAGCATGTTACCATCTCTATGCAAAACAAATACTTGTGAGAAGCACTGCCTATTCAATCCCCACCCTCCCTTACACACATCTTAGGATTTCACAGAGCATATTAGCAAATGAAAGGCTCTGAAAAGTTTTACGATCTTTTTCCTGTCATAAAATATATATTAAATTTTTTTTTTTAGTAGATGTTGCTAAAAAATGTTCCCTGTCCTCTCCCCCACACCATTGCTCTATGTGTAACCTCAAAGAATCTTTCTAGAACCCGCCTTCTCTCTTCTGTCTGGAATTTATTTCTTCCATCTTGACTGTTTTTAATTGTGGGCACCCTGCTCTAAATCTGGCTCATGCCTGATTCCTTCTTTTTTTAAATCTGATGCAAGTCCCTGCCAAAAGTCAGTTGCCCAGAGGGACTCTGGGTCACTTCTATCCAAAGAGATTTTCTTCAGTTCTTCTTTGCTTCTCATCTATCCCACTACTCCATCACCAGTATTTTTCACTTACTTTCCCAGTGGAAAAAGCAGGTTTTTGTGCAGTAAATCCACGCATATCTTTTAGCCTCGTACCCACCATCTCCTCAGCTATACCTTCATGTTATGAGCTAGGAGAGAGAGAGAAAGACACTGGATCAAAAATGCTATCAGGTACGTCCCATTCTACCCCCTGACTTCTACCTTTATTAGCTTCAATCCTTACCCTGAACTACTTTCATTTTATGGTCTTGATATTATCCTTGAAATCTTAAAACAACTCCTTCTACAATTGGTCTGAGGCTGGCAGATTTCTAAGATGACTCCCAGTGATTTATGTCCTTTTATGTGTGTGGTGGGCTGGACATAGTGATTTGATTCTAACCAATAGAATATGGCAAAAGTAGTGGATGTCACTTTCATACTTCGGTTTCAAAAGATTGTGACTTCCATCTTGCTAGCACTCTATTGCCCTTGTAGCTTGCACCCTTTGAAGAAGGAAGCTGCCATATTTGAGAGGCCATATGACAAGGAACTAAAGGCAGCTTCTGGCCAACGTTCAGTGAAGAACTGAGACCCTTAGTCCATGGGACAGTGAGGAACGGCATCCTGCCAATGATCATGTGAACTTGGAATCAAATCTATGCCCTACTGAGTCTAGAGGTGACTATACCCTAAGCAACACTTCAATTGAGAGACCTTGAAGCCGAGGACTCAGCTAAGTCTTGCCCAAATTCCTGACCCACAGAAACTGTGAGAAGACAAGTATGTGTTGTTTTAAGCTGCTCAGTTTTGTGGCAATTTGTTGGGTAGCAATAGATAACTAACACAGTTCTTTAGGGCTTGGAAACCAGGAGAGACAATCAGTGTTAAATGTTTACACAGTACCTAAAACATAGAAAATGCCCTATCCAAGTTGGTTATAATCATCCTCACTATTATTGTTATTATTATTACTGTTGTAATTCCAAAAATCTGGGGAAGCCCCAGGATTCTCAACTGAAAGGTCTGTGCTAGGAGTTGGGTGCCAAGAACAGGTAAATGGTAAGGCCCAAGAGATACTATTAAGTACTGGAATAAAGAGGGGTAGCACTCTGGATCAGAACTGCCTACCCATAGGGCCCGGCTTCTTTGTTTTGGACCAAATCTGGGAGATGAATCACACGGGGCATTTTAACAGGTTCCTGTGATCACACGAATATTTGAGCAAGTAAGAATCTCTATTATTTCCCTCTTTCATTTCCAAAAAAGGGTAGGTCATACCTTGTAGTTTGTCAGATAGGTTCTTCGCCTCTATATCCTTTAAGAAGGATCCTATCATCCAGAACAGTGTATTTTTTTGTTGTTGTTGTTCTTATTGGGTTTTTGTTTTTGTTTGTTTGTTTGGTTGGGTGAGAAATTGGGAAGGAAAGAGTAAGACCCAGGATGTGACAAGAGGATGAAATGGCTTTGTTACTTTACATAAATTCCCTGGGCTCAGAGTATTTCAGGAGTTTATCTTGGGTGAGGTCGGGCATCGAGGAGAAATTATAAGAGAATCTGTAGTATATGAAGAGAGTAGCTGGGAAAGAGAAAAAAATATATAGAAATATGAAATATTGGTAGGAACCAAGTGTCTCCTTCATAATGATTGAGACATACTAGCAAAGAATTTATGTTGAAGTTGTTTTTGCATGTTTATGTTTATTATTATTATTATTAAATATATAAATTTTAAATAATTACAACTTCTTTTTTTACTATCTCTGCTTCAGTTATAAACTACATGCATCGCTCCTCTACAAGTATTATTTCCCTTTGATGTCTCAAAAAAGGCCAAGGATAACAAAAGCCAGTTGACTTGCCATTTAAAAAAAATTGTTACTTGTAGTTATCCTGTTCTTTGTGTTGCGGTATGACCTCTTTTCCCACAATCATTGGCAGTGAAAACATTTTTGACAAGTAGAAAATGCAAGTCGACATGTGTTTGCTTCAGTGATCATGAAATAGCACAACCATTGAGAAAAAACACCTTGGTCTTGATTAGTCTTGAAGAGACAGAAACCCAAGAAGAAGAGAAGGCCAGATCCTCAGGTCTGGGAAAAAAGTAAAAAGATCCAATAAAGAGCCAGTCAAACACTAAAAAAATCACCCTAAAATGTCAGATTGTCTGGGCTTCTTTATGATCTGGCCTGTGTCTGTGTTCACCTTCACACCCAGGCCAGCTTTTCTATTCTCAACCACCTCACCACTTAGCCATCACTGAGTGTGAGAGTAAGGGGCCAATAATAGTGACTCAATTTAAAGGTAGAAAAACTGCAAGAGAGGGAGATTTATGATTCACCTAAGCTCATATAGACAGCATGGAATTGATAGTAAATGGATATTCTGGGGAGAGTATGGACAGAGGCTCGTCTGCTACAGAAGAACATTCTGGGATCCAGTGGAAGTCAAGCTAAAGTGCTATTCCGATTCCCATCCCTTCCACCAGAGACGCACCTAGAAAATGATATTTTGCTTTTAAACCAGTTCATTTTTTAAAATTATTATTATCCTTAAAAGTTCACCAATCGGCAAAAGTGTCTGGCTTGGCAGTAGGCAGTAGTCGCATGTTATTTGGTTGACAGCCAAACTATATTAAAACATAATCACTCCTTCAACACTCTGCCCCATGAGTGTTGTTCTGAACATTGAGTGCAGCCGAGTTCCAAGCACTATTCTGCCTTCCATGTTGAAGCCCCCGACATCTCACCCTCCTTTCGAACTCTCCGTGCAATACGTAAATGCCTTGGAACTTTTAACACTCTGCACTCCTCTTCGTTTACTGGATGCTTGTCCCCATACACTTCTCTTAAAAACAAAAAAAAGTGTATTGCTCTGGATAAGAACTAGATGGGGACTTTGGAAGGAAGCTAGTGGTGTGTAGAAGCTGTTGCATAGAAGGGGCATGGGGTCAAGAGCTAAAGAAGAGTGGCCAGATTTCAGAAGGTCACTTTGGTTCAGGAAGTGAGGCTCCGTGGGAGGTAGGGAAGGTGAGCACATGTGTAGTAAGCAGTGTCACCGGGGTCTGATTTCATGGTGGTGATTACTGAGTGATTTCTGGATTAGCCTTTCACACGTGTGGGTTCATTGAGCACTAGTCACTTCCTCCTTCTCTCCTTTTTGTTTTCTTTGCTTTTGAAACTACCCCCCCCCCATTCAACCCCCACCTACCACTCCACCTCTCCTTTTCCCCTTACTCCAGGAGAAGATTGAAATGAAGGCATTTTTTAGGTTGACGGAGCACAAACAGCTTCTCAGAAAAATGTAGCCCCGTGGTAAGCTGATAGTAGATCACCACACGAGACTCACACAAACCCTGGAATGAACCTAGTGAGTCTCAAGTGAGAAGACAAATTCTGTTCTAGAAAGAGCTCAGCTTCCAATTGAATCCACAAATAGGCCAGAAGAGATACGATTTCTTCACGGATCATTGGAAAACTGAAAGGAGACCATATTTCTGTCACCACTTTGGATGAGACCAGAAGCCTCAAGCCAGGGCAGAATTTGACTGCCGGAGTTTACACCAGCTGGCATGACTGACGGCCAGTGACTTGTAAATATGAGTGGGTTCTGTGTCTCACC